GGAGTTAGGAGGGGTAGAGGTAGACCTAGATTAGATTACTGTTCGCAAATAGTTAAGGATGTGGGTTGTTCTAGTTTTAGGGAAATGCGAAGTTTAGCTCAGGATAGGAAAGAGTGGAGGTACGTGTCCAACCAGTCTTAGGACTGATGACCTTATGATGATGATGATCCAGAATTAGGCAGTTGTCCTAAATTATCATCTAGACAGTGGTCACCCCTTAAAGCGGCCACATTTTCATGCAACATTTACTAACCCTAAGGATGGTTGGAGTTACTTCCTAACGTTTCGCCATCACGAGTGGCGAACTTCTTCAGAGGTCCAACCGTCTCTGATGCTGCATGTGAAGTCCACGTTATCTCTGAAGAAGTTCGTCACTTGTGTGTAGCAAAACCAGAGGAAGCAATTCCAATCAACTTTAGGGTTAGTAAATATTGTATTGTATGAAAATGTTGCCGCTTTAAGGGGTGACCACTATCCAGAGAATAATTTTGGACAACTGCCTAATTTCGGATATAGAAAGATCAACTGGAGTACTGGGAAACTTAACTGAATAAACACCGTGTCATCTTCAGTTAGAGACTAACGGAAGATAGCACATTGGTTGTCGATTAGGTAACTAAAAGTTCTATGGAATTTCGGGTGTTTTAGTGTTTATTTAATTTTGGATACTGCGTTATCGTGGCGGGTTTGGAAAGATTGTGATATTAACGGAAAGTTGAAAACTGGTCGTTCAGAAGGATGGCCTTTTATTCGGGATCGTATTAGTGATGAGGAGCTTTACAGGGATTATTTAAGTTTACCTGCTTTTCATTTTCAATTTCCTTTACTGATATATATCTCCTGTAATGAATATAGGGTGATACTTCTAAAATGTCTTTCGGCAGGGTAGTAATGGACGGAACATCCTGCTCTCCCATTATGTAAAGCTTAAGGAAATATTTTTTTAACAACTAAACAATGAAGAATACAATGAGATATCGGCTTGATTCACACACAACACGTAAATCCTCAATCTATAATCGAAAATCGTAGTATTTAAAGTTATAAATTATAAAACACTTTATTTGAAGAGAACACTATGCGAGCAGAGAAAGAGGGACAAAAAACATTAGGTATTTAATAATTCAGCAGGATCATGGATCAAAGAAGATGCAACCAACTTTATGATTATATTTGTAATTTTGACAGTCAGTTAGATAAGTTGAGAGCTTAATAAAGTCTCAAGAAATAGAAACAACAATGATCCAATTGGTTTTTCAATTTTGTTTTCCCAATACTCATGATCCTATTCAATTATTGCATAAAAATGCAAGTGATTTCTTCATGATTAAGTATTTAATTTCACTGCTACTTGCGGGGTCCATATCGTTAAAGAGAATTTGCAACTAGAGCACAAATGTAAAATATATTTTATTTTCTTTGAACATGAACCTCCAAATACAATACGTATGCTGATAATCCGGTTGAATGTTATTCTTAATATGTAGTATGAAATATTATTCTAAAAATTCATTTCTAAATATTTACCCACCAAATAAATGAGGGAAAAATTGTTGCTGTTGTCACACCTCCGCCGGGAATCGAACCCGAACCTTTGGCTTTACGCACCAATGCTTTGACCACTAAGCTACGAGAATTTGAAGTAGTTTGTAATGAGTAAAAGTTCAGAAATGAAATTTCAGAATAATATTTCATATTAAACTAACTCGCTTCTAAAAATCTAAATGTATGTATGTTTCTTAATATGTAAATTTGAATATAATCAACGTTGAAAAATCTTATGAAATAAATATAAGAATATCAAGTTCATAATAACAGGTCAATTGAAAAGTCCCCGGCCTAAAATAGTAAAACACATTTTTTTTGCAAAATTCGTTTTTTTTATTCAACATAATTCCTTTCAAGGGTGATACACTGATTATAGCGATCCTCCAACTTTTCGATACCATTTTTGTAGTACGATTTGTCCTTTGCTTCAAAATAGGCCTCAGTTTCGGCGATCACCTCTTCATTCGACGAAAATTTTTTCCCAACGAGCATTTTTTGGAGATCTGAGAACAGGAAGTAGTCGCTGGAGGCCAGATCTGGAGAATACGGTGGATGCGGGAGCAATTCGAAGCCCAATTCATGAATTTTTGCCATCGTTTTCACTGACTTGTGAGACGGTGAATTGTCTTGGTGAAGCAGGACTTTCTTTTTCTGCAAATGCGGTCGTTTCTCGGCGATTTCGTCCTTCAAACGGTCCAATAACGCTATGTAAGAGTCGCTGTTGATGGTCCTTCCTTTTTCAAGGTAGTCAATGAAAATTATTCCACGCGCATCCCAAAACACAGACGCCATAACCTTGCCAGCCGACTGTTGCGTTTTTGCACGCTTTGGAGCGGGTTCATCGTGTGCAGTCCACTCCGATGACTGTCGATTGGACTTCGGAGTGAAATGATGGAGCCATGTTTCATCCATTGTCACATATCGACGCAAAAACTCGGGTTTATTACGCGTGATCATCTTCAAACACTGCTCTGAATCATCAACTCGTCGTTGTTTTTAGTCAAAAGTGAGCTCGCGCGGCACCCATTTTGCACAGAGCTTTCTTATACCCAAATATTCGTGAATGATGTGATGTATACGTTCCGTTGATATCTGTAGAGTGTCTGCTATTTCATTCAATTTCAATTTACGGTCATTCAAAATCATTTTGTGGATTTTTTTAATGTTTTCGTCCGTAACAGTCTCTTTTGGGCGTCCACTGCGTTCACCGTCTTCGGTGCTCATTTCACCACGTCTAAACTTAGCATACCAATCCTTGATGGTTGATTTTCCTGGGACAATGTCCGGAAATTCGTTATCAAGCCAAGTTTTTGCTTCAAGTGTATTTTTTCCCTTCAAAAAGCAATATTTTATCAACACGCGAAATTCGTTTTTATCCATTTTTTTCACAATAACAAAAGTTGCTTCACTAAAAATGCTATAATTCACAAACTAATGATCCGACAGCCGTCAAATTTATAGACGCGTCTTTTGAATGTTAGGACTAACTGAAAATCATATGGATTTAGTTCTGGTGCCGCCATCTATGTGTCAGGCCGGGGACTTTTCAATTGACCCTATAGAAGAAAAGCTTTGTTATCGCCGTATCTAATTGTATACTACTTTTGCATAACTAACATTAATTAAATAGCAGGAGATTATACCAAAGTTGATACTTACACTTAATGTTCCTCTCAATTTTAACGTTAAACGACCTGGTCCAAACTTTTTATTTGAAATTAAAGGTAAATAAGGTGCCTTCTTGTCTCTACAACAAATAGAAACATATTAATTTGATTAGGTGCAATATTCAGTTCAGTTTCCGAATCTTAATTCTACTGCGAATTTCAGCCGAGAATACTACGCTCTTAGAATTTGAATTCAAAGTTTGTAAAGTGATACAAGAATTCCTTTGAGAAAAAAACGGAATACGATTAGGTACTCGTGATAGTAAAGTCAAAGAACAAGAATCGTTCAGGAAAATGACCTAAAGGGCCGAACAGAAACATTTCAGAATCACACTGACTGCGAATGTCTTAACTAGCAATAAACTGTTATCGGGCAAGATCGTATACATTTTGTTTTCTCAAAAAATTCACGTATTAAAAAGGAAAGCGTTTTAATTTTCTGTATTAATTTTTAAATTTTAATTTGTGGTATTATAGAATAGAACGAAAGTCGTGAATAAAAAAGGTAGGAAATGAAGAGACGTTAGAGAAGTAAGAGAACAAAGGTGCTACTGGTGTCAAAAAGGAAAAGGAGAAGTAGATTGGGTATAGGGCGTCTTCTTAGACAAAAGCTAGAATCATATACAAAAATTAAGAAGGACAGAGAAAGACTTACGTACGGTTACTGTTTGCAACAGTAAGATCTGGGATTTTTTAGTGTTCCGGAAATAAAAGGATTGCATCGGGATAGGAGGGATTAGTGGCGTGTGTCCGGTCTTTAAATCGACGAAGTATGATGTTGAATTAAGTACTCATCATAATAATGATTCTATATGAAATTTCTTTTTTGTAATAAAATCATTATTTTCGGTCTGAAGATTGCAGACGCACTACCACTTCTTCCTATCTTGAGTCAATCTTCGTCTTTTCCATCTTGAGTCATCTGACTCTTTAAATATCCAAAAACAGCTACTTCTTCCAATTTTTCGTCTCGTGAAACTTCTATACAGAGAAATATTACGATTTTTTCTGTCACGAAAAACCGTTACGGCCGCGTGGAAAGGGTAAACGGTATATCGAGTGGTGAGAGGCGGCAGCGGCGTAGGGAGATGAATGTAATCCGCAGCCGCGCGGAGAGCGGGGATTCCGTTAGAGTCCCGGCGACGTGTGCTGTTCTCAGCTGTTGTTTTCTTATCTTTGCTCTCCGCGTGGCTCGGGATCATTTCCTCTATTTGCGGTCTGTGTAAAACGAAATCATAATTTGCAGTAAACCTGTGCAAACGAAATGTGTGCTGGGACACATAGTAGGAGAGAAACTTGAACGGACAAGTGTCCTAGCACACATTTCGTTTTATATTAGTTCTAATCCTACTCATACACCAATATGTCTAATAACAACTGCGCAAAATTGTAGAAGACATTTATTATTAGTCTGGAATCGAATTTCGAATACCTAAATATTTCTCTGCCACCATACAGTTATCTAATCGTATTGTTGCACTTTATTTCTGTTTCTACATTGTTAGCAAATTTACCTTGCTTGTAAAGAGTTAATAGCATAACATGGCCCTAACTCTGTGTGAAGTGCAGTAAAATATTTGCAGCAATTAAAAGGGTTATCGTTCCATTTGCATTCCAAAAAAATTTCTTTGCATGTACTTCTGACCTGCAACAAGCAGATAATGTTAATCAAACAGTACTTATATTTCAACTCATTACTGTAAAATTATTGACTCTCTGCAGTAAAACATAAACAATATAAGTCTATAAAATAAAGAGTAACATTAGGCTTGAAGCAGCTGAAACTAAATGTAATAAACCTATGATAGCACTCTGTCAACAATATGATAATAAAGGTAACTTATTGCAGCTGGTATATTCTCCAGAAATAGCTAACGATTTCTATATTATAATCGCTTATCGTTAGCTATTTGCTATTGCTAAGAGTTACTACGGACGTCGGTACCTGTCTCAATGTGAACCCCTTTACTTATCGCGCATTCCCGAAGCCCTTATAATGTTAAGCAAATTTAGTACACTTCATTCATTCTTATCCCATGATTACTGGAATAATGTAATTCATTTACTTGTAACAGTTTTAACATGACCCACCAAATATTCATAAACGTTGACATTAGTTACAAGACAGTTGTCTACATTTTCTTCGGATTCACAAGTTTGTATTGTATAGTAAGAAAGTCCTCTAAAAAATAGCATCTCCTTCATTACTTCGTCTAGATTATAATCATGTGGATCTCCAAATAGTCTGCAAATCAATTAAAAAGTCCGGTAAGTATTTCTATGTTGAGAGACGAGTTCAAAAAAAAAATAAAAGAAAAAAATAATTGTGTGGTTTTATGAAACTACCTACGATGCAAGTGAAACTTTTCGGATTGTACTTAGGCATTTAACTGTAAATTTTCTGAAAATTATTCGATTTAGAATATTAAAATGAAAATCGCGTTCTTAATTTTATTTTAATGAATGGAAAATTGGAATGATAATGGGAAATCAACAGTAAGCAAAACATCCAACTATAAATTTTAATTTCAATCTGTGTATGAGAGTACGGAATACATAATAAATACAATTATTCAGATGATAGACGCATGTTAAAAACTGAGAACAATATTTATTTAAATCATTGAATCATTTTGAACTTCAGTTATTCTATCAATTATTTCATCTTCGCTTTGAGTTTCACAGTCTATAAATGTAATTGTCATGCACTTGCAGGAATGAGTGAGAATATAAACGCTACACGGTTAGCTCATGCCAGCCATGGGCGCCGCCATATTGGCGTTGGCTGTTTTGTCGAGCGCCTTTCACTTTTACTCCTACTCCGCGGTCGGCTGTAATGCGACATGCGATAGATGGACGAAAAAATTTGAGGCGATGTAATAAAAGTTTCACTTTAAAAGAGAATCGAAGAATATCATGAAATGACATATTTATCAAGATTCAAAAGGATATCAGAGGAGAGATCAAGAAGGTCAAATATGAACAGAATTCTACGCATGCCCTTAATTACGCGCAGGGGGTCCGAAAATTTTTAATTAAAGCAATACTGAGGTAAAAATTATTTTATTTAAGAAATGTTACTTTTTGGTAACAGCGTTGAATAAATATTATTATAGGTGTATGTAACTATTAAGTAGTGTTAAGAGATGTGTATGTCTTGCTGTCAGTTCTTGGTATTTTATTTTTGTGTTCTTTCTAAAAGAGGTAGTTTTTATGGTAGTTCAGTAGAAAGGTTAGCAGTATATATACAGTGATAAAAGTTTGTGACAGACAATCAGCATAGTTGGACGTCTCATTCACGTCTCTAGTCTTAACCATTAGCAATTTAAGTATATATTAATAGTTTATTAAAAAGATATTTTTTAACCACATCACACAAAGTTCATAAACAATTCCACTGTTTTTGTCGCTTCTTCAATCATCTGCCGACAAAAAAAACACAGCCAACGTTTCGCTCAGGTTGTTGGATTTTTTCAAGGCTAGTTTTTTTAATTAAAAATTGTAACACCGATGGATTCTGATTAAGTAGTACATGCTCAAAGATCAACAAACATTAACAAAAATTACTAAAAGTTTGTATAGATAAAACTTTAAAAACTAATATAACATTGTTAGAATCGAGAAGAATCAACGGAAAATTGGATCTACAGTAAATTAGTAATAATAATCTGAAGAGATCTTTTTGAATAGGGATTTTCTATGATCACCACGTTCACAGTGGTTTATCCCGAGGAGCAAACTATATACCATATTTAAGAAGTATCTAACTCTGACAATATCATGTGATAACGGAGATGTCATTAGGATTTCACGGATATCAGATGGATGTTAATAGTAATTTTGGTATACTTCATTTACTTTCTCTAGCGATGTGCCCTTTCCAATGTCTTGGATGCGCGCTAGCAACATCGTAGGTAAAGATAAAAAAGCACATTATACTCTCGCCTCTTGTTCATTAAACATACTTTTTCATACAGTACCTGCCAAAAGTTTTGTTCAATCTTGAATAGCAGTGCGAGTCGAAAACTGGCGTTAAAGCCTTTAATATGTCTTCAAGTATAAATAAACGTCTCGTTGATATTTTCAGTAGTAAATTGTACCAATAACAGCACATTTGAGCAAAGCAATTCTAGTGGATTAAATGGTCAAATTTTTTCGTGCAGTACTATACGAATTATACGCTCCTCACCGGTTAAGAGTTTGGCCGAGACTTATTTCCTTCCTTTTCTGGCCTAGTGCTGTTCTTTTCTACTTTGCGCCAGTCGAAAATGAAGGTCACGTCGCTACAGAAAGTAAACGAAGTATACCTGTAACGTAGTATTTCAAATACAGAACAGGGACGCGCATGCGCTTGATCAAGAGCAATAACTGCGAAACTAAAAGGTGAAGAAGGATTTTATTAGATACGTAGCAGATTTAAAGGAAACCAGAATAAATCAAAGGAAAGGAGATATCTTTTTGAAGCAAGCAATGTTTTGATTACGGTTGGAATCGTTTCCAGACAGCAATATTTAAATAGTGATACTTAAAGTGGATGACAACCGTTATCGTATTGTTGCACTAAATGCAATAAACTTTGCCTCATTAAATCGACCATTACAAGATGGGCACAATTCCCAAAAAATGTGAATTGTGAAGATCAGTATTGATCTGAGCTTTGTCCTTAAATAGTGCTGCCTAAAGTGGATGTTGCACTAAATGCAATAAACTTTGCTTCATTAAATGAACCATTACTTATCGTACAAGATGGGCAAAACTCGTAGGAATTGTGAATTGTTCGAGTCAAATTAAGGTATTGGGCGGTATATACCTATCAGATGCCGAAGCAATTTTATCCTGATTATCTGTTTCACAAACAGAAATTGATGGGAACTTGGTATCCCATTCCAAATAATTTGTATCTACCACAAAACTCAATGCGTTATTTTGAAAATCATACCAGCTCGCTTTCATTAAAAATATTGACGCCACAATTGAAATCATGCAGACAGTCAACCAAAATAACCTTAAAAGGAAATCATTATCTATAATACTCGACCAGATATGGTGAAAATTGAGATTTATTTTTATTTATATAAGATCGCAATTTCATAAGACATCAAAATTGAAACATTTTATACCTTTCTGTCCAATGCAAACCATTTTCTCCAAGATATTTGTAACCATGAAATGTAGTTGTAGTTACATATTGTTTAAACAGTGACTGTCTATTTACGCAATTTTTTCCTTTCTTCTGTTTTCTCATAATTATTAATAAGCTGTTTATTGCAGCATAAGGTAGAAATATAAATTCCGGTGCAATCTCTTTTTCAGTTTGTTAGCTGACTACCTTCAATATTTCTGGTTTTGGGTAAAATTAGTAGGAATTATTAATGTACGTACACTTATTGTCTAGTGTGGAAGTACAATATCGATTCTCTTCATAAAATATCGGTGGACAAAGAATCGAATGAAATATTAAACTAAATGACAGCGATTAGTAAAAGTGTACCTAACAATGTAATATTACGTAATAATATCATCATCATAAAGTCGTCAGTCCTAAGACTGGTTGGACACGCACCTCCACTCTTTCCTATAGAAACTAGAACATCCCACATCCTTAACAATTTGCGAACAGTAATCTAATCTAAGTCTACGTCTACCCCTCCTAATATGTCTTTGACTAGACCTTCATGCCTGAGAAGGTGTCCTACCAACCTATTTCGCCTATTTCTTATTGACTTCCATACAGTCCTCTGTTCTCCTATTCTTTTTACTACCTCAAGCGTATTAATCATACTGTCATACTTAAGGGATATCGGTGTCTGTGGATTCCCCTTGAAGTGGATAGGGTCATACCTTGGTGACTGCACTAAAGCATTGAACGCCGATAGATTGCCGAACGTTCCTTGTCATGCTCCTTCAGGCATTCCATAGGTGACGCAAAAATGTTCCACTCAATTTTATCCATTGTCAATGCTGTCGCCCTTTAACGTGCTCTCGGCCGACTGTCAGACTGGTGCCATGTGGATCGCTTGGCGCGGAAAATATCCAAACGCAAAGCCTTTTTCTAAGGTATATAAAGTTGAGTTCGGAGTTTACTATTGCAATGACCTTCATGTAAATAAGAGACAATCACCAAGGGATCGAGAAATCTTGGATTCATACTAATAAACAGCAAATTATTTAGAAATATATATCTACCTAAACAATATTATGTCAGTTTTCTCAGACGTATGGGTGTGTTCTATGGTCTCCCTACACGGTAGCAAATATCGAGGCAATTAAAACTACCCAGAATAAACTTCCGAGAACATCTATTCTCAAAAGTGGTCGTCCAATGTCGTTCCTGGTCCACGAATACTCTGTTGGCGTTTCCCTAACATTAGATGTAAGAGGCGTCTAATTATGGATCACATATTTGATTATATTGACCTCGCTAATCATTTACAGTTCAAAGTAGCTCGCCGCATCACCATTTGCCAGTTATTGTTTCAATCTAGCAGCCACCTGCAGATCCGACTTTGCTCAAAATAATACTGTTCAATTAACACATTTTGAGAACCATAAACGAGTTTAAGGGACGTCCTTCGGCTATCCTATCATGAATATAAGTAATCACAAACTCATCATCATCATAGGGTCATCAGTCCTAAGACTGGTTGGACACGTACCTCCACTCTTTCCTATCCTGAGCTAAACTTCGCATTTCCCTAAAACTAGAACAACCCACATCCTTAACTATTTGCGAACAGTAATCTAATCTAGGTCTACCTCTACCCCTCCTAACTCCTGTTTCTGCCTCTAATATGTCTCTGACTAGACCTTCATGCCTGAGAAGGTGTCCTACCAAGAATCCTCTGTTCTCCTATTGTTTCCAATACCTCTTCATTTCTAACCTTTTCTACCCACGATATCCTCATCATCCGCCTATAACACCACATTTCGAACGCTTCTAACCTTTTGTTTTCTGCCGCTCCCACTGTCCATGTTTCGCACCCGTACAACGCCGTGCTCCAAACATACACCTTTAACAACCTTTTTCGAATTTCTAATTAAACCGTTCGCGAGCATAGAAGTGACTTCTTTTCATTAAAGGCGACACGACCCTGCGCTATTCTCTGCTTTATATCCCTACTACTCCTTCCATCCTCACTTATCTGACTTCCTAGGTATCTAAAATCAGCCACTTCATCTAATTTGTCGTCTCCTATCTTTATATTCGCTCTTTCCCTACTTTTTCTTCCCTTGCATATCAGTATTTTAGTTTTACTTTTATTTATTTTCATACAGTACTGATCACAAACTCATACATTTAGTAATTTTCCATACTTCTTTGTTATTACAAAATACTACAAATGGCGCAATAAACGCCATCTGTAGCACGATGCTACATTTTCGGATTACGTATGCTCCAACAAGGTCCACTTGTGTGGATATTTTTTACCTGCTGTCTTAACAGTGCGTTGCGACGCGCTGATGAGATCCAAAAAGATCGAAATCGCGATCCGCGTCTAGCAGTTTCGACAGAATACAAACCACTTCGAATTATTTTATTCGATTATGGTAACGTGCCTATCACGTTGAGGTTAGCTACGCCGGGATTCGTTTTTCAGCAAGTAGATATCCACACAAGTGGACCTTGTTGGAGCATACGTAATCCTAAAATGTAGCATCATACTACAGATGGCGTTTACTGCGCCATTTGTAGTATTTTCTAAAACGCACTGTTAAGACAGCAGGTAAAAGTTGGTCTGTGTTCTGTCAGAGCTGCCTGCAACGCGCTGATGAGATCCAAAAAGATCGAAATCGCGATCCGCGTCTGGCAGTTTCAACAGAATACAGACCACTTCGAATTATTTTATTCTTTCTTATTCTTACTTATTCTTTTCCACCTTAACTAACTAAATTGTATATTATTCGATTAGTAACTTTAATTTTCATTATTTTGCTGGACTTTTTTCACTGGTTAAAACTTGAACAAGTGAAGACGGGCTAATACCAAAGAACCTCACTCACATATTTTGAGATATGCTGTAAATAAATAAACGTTTCTCCAGCTGAAAGGTACAACTGGGGAAGTACCAAATATATCGGGGATTTACAGCAACGGCAAACTATAAGTATTTAAGCCCAATGGATATTTGTTTCCGTTAGCAAAGGGTTAGTTTCCTCACGATATAGATACGGTAACGAAGCAAAATTAATATGCTGTTCACATCAATTTCGTTAAATAGTATTTAGCATCTATATTCCACAAAACTGATTATTATTAGTATTACAATTAGTCATGCGGAATAAATTACTACAAATATATTTTAGTGGTGGCAACGTTAAAGTTATTCATACCAATTAGGAGTAAACTAGATAAGGAACAATTTTACTGAAGGTAAAAATTTTCAAATTCTTGTAATACCATCGCGTAAAATGCTAATACCTTTTTATTTGAAAGAATCCTAAAAACTTTTCCCCTTCTTACATATGTAGTCTCTGATTATAAAAACCTCAACATTCGCCAACCGTTGTCATTAGCAAAACAACTCCAATATGAAACTGGCAGTTATTTCCTTAATTGTAATTTTTCATTTGCTGTATGTAACTGGTAAGTTTACATTTTTCTTTATAGATTACCTTAAATATTTCAATTTTTGTTTACAAAATACTAAGTCAGTATCAATATTTTTCGATAGGGGTGAATGGAGATGACTCCCATCATCCTAGAAACCATAAATTACGTTCAAAGGACAAAACCCAATCCCACCCAGTTTCATCGCGCCATCATACACCCAACAATAAGCGGGCTGTAAATACCAAGAATTCACATGGTCACAAAGCACAAGGACGACATTCTGCACCAATTCTTCCTCATACTCTACAAAGCCGTTATAAAACCCAACCAGGAAAAGAGTTTTCAGAAATGTGCAAAAAGATTTGCTTCGATAATGGCAGAACAAAAGAATCGAAGACAAACGGACAAACCTCATCGGCCAATGTAGATAACACCAATTCAGACAGTATTGACTCAAGAGATACAAATGACAGTGATATACAAAACAGACGTGATTCATCGACCGATGCAGATAATAATAGCAGTCAAAATGGAAACGGAAGTGATGGTGATAATAAGATCGATTCAACTAAGTCAATAGGTTCGAGTGGCAGTGGGCAAAATAATTGGAACACAAACGGACATAATTCGTCGTCCAATGCAGATACTGGCAGTCGAAATGGAAATGGAAGTGAGTCAAGTGGAAGCGATTCCGATAAAGATTCTAATAAAAAGAATAAAAAAGTATCCGGAATAGAAAGCGGAAATGGTGAAGGAAATGTATCTAATAATGATAACAGTTATGGTCAAAATTCTAACGCAAGCGGCGTAGATAGCAAAACTGATTCTGGAAATTCTCATGATTGCAATAATTTATTTAGTAACTTTAAAGAATTATTCCAAAACGGCGATAATAACGCAGCAGAATATAAAAGTAACGATAACGATATTTCCAATAGTGAAGATAGTAATCAGTATAATACAATTTCCAACAAAAATACTACTAATATAAAAAATGGTCAAAGTGTAAACAATGGCAGTGTAATAAATGAAGGAGAGACCAATATAATTGGAAAAAATGGAGATACGAATAATGTAGAACCTCGTAGCAAAGGATTACACGCCCATGTTAAACACAACTCGGTCGGAAATAACCAAAATCAGCACCAGAAATTGGGTTTCCGAAAAGGTCATTATCAAGCAGAGAGTCAGAGCAAGGTCAGAAATCACGGAAACTCAGCTAAAAAACATCATTGAACTTACTTACGACAGAATGCATGATTCCTTGATTACTATTTAAAATTTACTCTGTTCAATTTTGTAGGATAGTATCTATATTATCTTCCTTATACGATTAATAAAAATAAAAAATAATGGGTAGCGCAATATACAGTTGTTTTTTTTTAATTTCTTTAATAAAACTTACTCAAGTTTAAAAATTACAGACAAAAATTACGGGTTTATAAAATAAAAAGTTTGCAACGAAAAAGAGCTTAATGAACTGTAACCTTAATAAGGATAATTAAAATAAACTTAAAAACTAAAAAGTAAGTGCTGATTGCTACCATTATGGAGGAAGACAAGTATTTTGATATGTTATATATGTTGTTGTTCATTTAGTTATTTTAAAATCTTTTGTTAGTTTCAGATTAATAGCATTTATTATAATTTTATTTTGATTCAAATGCTATGGTCGTGCGTTGATGTTAATGTGTTTATTGGCCTTCATGGTTTTACATCATTAGCATCTTTGTACATATGAATTGAATAAAATAATTCGAAGTGGTCTGTATTCTGTCGAAACTGCCAGACGCGGATCGCGATTTCGATCTTTTTGGATCTCATCAACGCGTCGCAGGCAGCTCCGACAGAACACAGATCAACTTTTATCTGTTGCTTTAACAGCGAGTTTTAGAGAATACCACATATGGCGCAGTAAACGCCATTTGTAGTACGATGCTACATTTTAGGATTACGTATGCTTCAACAAGGTCCATTTAAATATATGGATATCTACTTACTGAAACGAATCCCGTACTACAGATGGCGTTTACTGCGCCATTTGTGGTATTTTCTAAAACGCGCTGTTAAGGCAGCAGGTAAAAGTTGGTGTGTGTTCTGGCGGAGCTGCCTGCGACGCGTTGATTATATCAAAAAAGATTGAAATCGCGATCCGCGTCTGGCAGTTTCGACAGAATACGGACCACTTCGAATTAGTTTATTCGATAATGGTAACGTGCCTACCACCAGAGAAGAGTGAGCTACGCCGGGATTCGTTTCAGCAAGTAGATATCCATATATTTAAATGGACCCTTGTTGAGCATACGTGATCCTAAAATGTAGCATCGTACTACATATGGCGTTCACTGCGCCATTTGTGCTATTTTCTAATATGAATTGAACTTAAGTTCTAAGGCGCGAAGTACAAACTACACTTCATACAATTTTTTTATCAAGATAATTTTTTCTTTTATACATAAACAACAAGATTTTCATATATTACATTTGATTTTCATGATAAACTTAGCAATAATTGGAATAATTTTTTTATCATTAGCAGTTAACATAGCAATACAAGAATAAGGACCGTTTTGTCCTGCTTTTCTCAATTCTTTCAATAACTCACTTATTTCTACATCAAAAAGTCTACAATTCCAAAAAATATGTTCGATCGAGTCTTGAGACTCTCCACATTTGCATAAATCCGAAGAAATTATTTTTTGTCGATATAGGCTACTGTTCATAGAAGAGTGATTACACCGGATCCTATTAATAGAAACAACTGCTTTTCTTATATGATCAAATTTTTCAAACCAAGGTTTAACCGAATTCGAATAGAATAAATCAAAGTATATTTTACCTTTTTCAAGAGCCATATTTTTTAACTGATTTCCGTTATCTTTTTTGCATATAGTCGTGCGTATTTATTATATTTGGCTAACGACATCTATTAGTATTATTTGTAGTTTGAATTGGATTGTAACGTTGTTAATGTGAAACTGCCAAAAGACTTTAATAGACCCAAAAAAACACAGAAATATCTAACTTCTAACACACCAAAAGAGTTGCCTTACTCAATATGACGTAATGTCCATCACCACTTACGTAATTTATTTCTTACCATTTAATTTATATTATTTATGCCTATTCGATTCTTAATCAGTTTTTTAATTTTTTTCTTTTTATCTGTAGTCAAGTTAGAGTTCTTTTAAACTTTTCATTTTATTTTGAAATTTTCCATTTTTACCTTGGATTCGAGTACGAAAAGAAGGGCGGATTGCATAATTCATTATTATATCATCATATTCATCAGATGGTCAACATAAGGCTGCGATGAAAATATTCAAAGTATATATAATAATATAGGAGCAGGGGTACAAATACAGAGCTTAGTATACATAATTTAATTTCCAAACAGCGAACACGCGAGTTTGAACAAAACGGGTGACCCACTGTTGCCAACCTACTATAGGAAAAAATCCCACGCACAGGTCCAAAAAATCCCATATTTTCTCGAAAAATCCCTCCACGCGCATGTCCAAAAAGTCCCATATCTTCTCTAAAAATCCCTCCAACTTATTACTATTATTATTTTTTAATTCGTTAATTTAATCGTTTATTCGAAAAAGAAATATACATTTTCACAAAAATATATATTTTTGTAAACATGGACAACTTTTCGTGTCGATAGTATAATACCGATAATTTTATTGTATGTAGTTATCTCGTTTCCCAAAAACGCAGACAAAACCAGGCCTTGGTGGTTTAGATGTTCGGATTTTGGAACAATACACCAATTCGAACATTTATTTTTATTAGTTTTAACATCTGTTTCTGATCTGTTGACTGGTCACTTTCAAAATGTTTGCTGAAAACCATACAATGATACGAAAACAATATACAATTCAAAANTATCGGTATATTACTATTATTATTTTTTAATTCGTTAATTTAATCGTTTATTCGAAGAAAAAATATACATTTTTACAAAAATACATATTTTTGTAAACATGGACAACTTTTCGTGTCGATAGTATAATACCGATAACTTTATTGTATGTAGTTATCTCGTTTCCCAAAAATGCAGACAAAACCAGGCCTTGGGGGTTTAGATATTTAGATGTTCGGATTTTGGAACAATACACCAATTCAAACATTTATTTTTATTAGTTTTAACATCTGTTTCTGATCTGTTGACTGGTCACTTTCAAGATGTTTGCTGAAGACCATACAATGATACGAAAACAATATACAATTCAAAAAAGTTCAAGACAATTTATCGTAGGGACTTGAGCAGGTACCGACA